TACTGATAATCAAGGCCGTAGCCAGGACAAACTTTCCTGGGGGGGGGGGGGGGTCAGGTTAGTGGAGGTTCTAGGACCTTGTCAAGGGGGGGGGGCTTCTCCCTTCCAATATAAGAGGGAGGTCCTCTCCCGGAAAAATTTTATATTTTTAAAAGCAGTTTGGTGACTTTCCAAAGCAATTTTAAAGCCTAAAACTGTCTCCAATCGTAAAAATACTCTCATTTCACCAGTTGTTTGTCATAAGCAAGTAGACATTTACAAATTTTAATTATGACGATTGCATTCACAAATTTCAAAACATAATATAGACTACGGCCATATCCTCCTAAAAGAAGTTTAGTGACTTTCTAAAGCAATTTTTAACGTCTAGAACCGTGTCCCAAATCCTCCCATTTCCCATTTTATTTGTCATGAACAAGTAGACATTTTTTAAACTAAACTATGACGATATCATTCATAAATTTCTTACCATACTGTAGGCTACGGCCATATCCCCCTAAAAGCCGTTTGGTACTTTCTTTATCCCTGTATCCCCCCTTGGAACCGCCACTGCTGTAGTTTCTATTTCATAATTTAACTTGGAACTTGCACTTTTTGAACCTAGTGTAAATTTTTACTACTAAAGTAAATTTCGGGATTCGGGGCCTTTTAGATAATACTATATAGACTTCTAGGTAATATTAGACTCGCATTCAAATTATAAGCTTGCTGGTTCAATCAAGAGTGAGAACAATTCAAGATGTCATTTGTCATGCCACGGAATAAAGCACACAAATAAAATACATAACAAACATATTGATTTTTACTTCAATAATACCTGACTGTTGGGTCGCACTTGAACATGTCTTGAACATGTTTAAAACGAATTTATCATGGATCACCATGCTGTATCATTCTTTATTCATTGATTACATCGAAATGATAATGAATCCATTTGCTTGAAGGTTTAATATGTTTTAAACATGCTTAACAAAACAATGGCATCATTTGACACGGCTCTTTACCGCCCATGATTCTAATTTTATACCTGAGTAAATATTATATCATAGGTCACTTGTGGCAATAAAATGCACCGTGATACAATAATTCGGTGAATATTAAGTTATGTATGAAAGACGGCTGGAGAATAATTATTATGCATTATGCAAGTGTTAACAATAATTTCTCACGGGCTTTCTCCTGCGTGACTAAATATTCTCAGATGTGAAATTACGTAGTTTCTGTTTTGTTTTCTATTATTACGAATTCAAGTTATAAACAAGTATTTTTTCTATGAATAACCGCTTCAAAATACTTTTTTATGACAATGCCATTGAACTAACCTTTGTTTTTAAACGTTTCATGTAATGTAAACCCAATATTATGTTAATTTATGGATTTACAATTGAATTAATTTTGTTACAACTACTTAAAATCTTTGTGTAACCTTGAAATGTTATCCAGCACTCTTGGGATCTGAGTGGCTATTATTATCCAAGTCCTTGATGGACAAAACACTTTTCTCAGAGTTCGTTCGAGCGTAAACCACGTCGCCAGTTATAGACATAGGTCTTGCTTATCACCTTTTGTATCTAGTTTATTGTCAGCGCAAGACAGCGCATCACTCAACAAACATTGCGCAGATGTCTGATGTGATTGCGCAGGCGTATTGTTTACCAATCGTGTTAGCACTGCTTCGCCCACTGCCTTCTAAATAGGCGTCGCCATTCGTGGAGAATGCATTATTGTTTTATCGTAAGAAAAGTTTGAGAAATATTGATAACTGATCGAAAAAGACGTCAGGAAATCTAAGAAAACATTTGGCATAAGTGTAATTTATCTATTTTGATGATAATATGAAGAGGAAGTGGTTCCTGTATGTATGTGTTTGTGAGTGGGTTATCAAATAAAAAACAAGTCTCTTTATGTTAGTGCATTACCAAACCGATGGATGTATAATTTCGAGACTGAAGTCCGTAAAAATATTTGACCTAGAAGCTTTCTGTCATATTACCGACTCTAAATTGCTTAGGGGATTTCCCTCGGGCTTTCAAAGTTCTGAGTTGGGAGAGAAATAATATTGATTTGCATACATTCCAATAAGACAAACTAAGTTTTATCTTTTGAAGTCATTGAAAATTATGACTGTTATTCGTTTTAAAATAACGCGTAATGATTTGCAATTGCTCGAATTCGAGCAACAGGTACACTTGTGTTTAAAATGAAGCAAATATACGACCTAAACATAGTACAAAGGATAAACATTCGTAGCCTACGATGACCACTGATCAAATAATACAGAGAAAGTATTATACGCCACTACCACTGGTGGGGGGAAAATACCACTGATCGGATATGTATTTTACAGATTTTATTTATGTAATCTAAATTAGGTTATAACGAATAATATTTAACTTATGTGATTGGGAATTTAAACAACTACATGAATCAGAAGTTTTAAGGTTTATCTAAATAGGTTTATATGTAGATGAGGGCGTATTATTTACTTTAAACAGTGTAAGTGAACTTTTGATCCTATTGTGGAAATTATTTTGGAAACGTTTGAGTGTGTCAATGTCAACTAAATATAACCACATTTGTTTGATAGCAAAGATTGACCTTATGTAAATGACAGTTAAACAAACAAAATAAACTGTTTTAACTAAACCATATTTTAAAATTAATGTTTATTTGTGTAATTGGCTATTTATTATCAACACATCACGCGGTCTACCACTGAGTTTAAACAACGCATTCTGATTCTATAAATCCCAAAAATTTAATTCTATTCTATTCTAAAATTTGTATTCTAAAATTTAAAACATTTGTGATAACAGTATCGTGCTGGCAACATACTTGATCGTCATGCTGTATTGATCAAACATATTAGCAACGATTTGGGGAGATTGCCTAAGTTTAAGCATAGATAAAACATACAGTAGTCCCTTATTTCCTCCTAGTGGACTATATGTTTTATCCATGGTTTAAGTTAGTATACATCAGTTCAAGTAAGTAAGTCAAAGTAGTTTTTTGCGTTTTCGTTTTACTAGAAAATGCCTAATTCGCTTAACAGCGCCATACTTAAAAGATTTTAGAATGCATCCTCAAAAACTGCCTGATATTTGTAGAAAATGAAGACGAGCAATAAACGCCCTAAACACACGAACAACTACTTTAAAGGCAATAATTTGAGATAATTAAATGTAGAACACTTGCTTGAAAACAATTTTCATATGTTTCATGTACAAAATTTAAGAAAACATTCCTTAAGGTGAAATTCCTTAAGGTGAAAACTATTCGTGAAATTCTCTTCTTAAAACAGTCAAGTCTTCCTAAGTCGTCAGCTAATCAATGGATCCATGCAGGATTAATTTCATTCCTGCCTGACTTACCAAATCTAGCCAAGATTGAGAAAATGTCGATTGATCGGGTTCAACTGAACTGTTGGTTCATCAGATTACATAAGCAAACATAGAAAAAAACCGACACAAAAGGATATTTATGTAATGTCTACGTCTTTACTTATGAAACTTGTTATAGATGTTGATAGTTCTGAGACAAACTAATAAGGTAAATTGATGCAATAGTTATACATATCTATAAACATTGTTTTAATTCATTGATTTATTAAAAACCATGAAACGTGATCGTTCCGCTCAACTAGCTATCGCTGCTATGAAAGCAATCCTAGTTATAGAAGATTTTTCAGTGACAGTTATAAGAGTGGTAGGGAGGTATTTTGATTTCATATAAGCACGTTTGAAGCGTTTTATAGACATTAAATTAACACTGTGCCGTGTGTACGTGCTCAACGCTCAACGGCAAAAACACATTCATTCTCAGTATTTGTGTGCTAACAACTAAAGGTTACTGGAGAAGATATTTTACACCGCAATGGCAATACATAGTACATACGTAATTAAAGTTGGCATAACCGTTTAAAACTCCAGAATGAACGAGACAGTAATTTAAAATTCTCCTATCTCGTTCACCTTGAAATGCCTCATTACAGTGGAATCTGGAATCTGAAGACGTTTAAAACAAAAACGACTACAACCAGTCCAAAATCCACGGATTTGTAGTTCCTCGGGCTATTGGCCGCCGCACCTCTCTCTACACACTACGCACCTCTACACACTACGCACCTCTACACACCGATACCAGGGATCTACGTACAGGCTCGACGAAAATAAGAGGAGTCGGAGTAATATTTATGACACTCACTTTGAATATTCTGATCAAACTTGGGCAGATGCCAGGTACGGTCATCAACGTGGAAATAAAATTAATAGGCTTCGGATTGGGCATTTCTCGGGAACCGGTTATGCTTGCTAAAGTGGCGGCATTCCGCTTGGGGTTGGTTGCCGCATTGGATTAGAACGTTTCTTGGTTTTGGTTTCACGATGGTATCATGGACGCCGGTTTATCGATAGGTTGAAAATGGTGTAAACACTAGTTTAATCCTTGTAATTTGACGTAGGTTGGCACCAGCCTATTCAGGCTACCAAGAAGTCAGTAGCTTTGTGATGATTTGAGACTGCATTTAGCTGTACATAGCTTGATGATAGATTTTTAATAAATAATGCCAACTATGTCTACACCACCCTATGTGCGTTTCGTGATTTAAAAGTGACTGTTGATCAGAAGGTAGACACGATTATAGTATTAAGCTGGCATTTACACAATTTTTGGTTGTTTTAACCTAACTGTATTTTAATAGGATTAAGAAAAAAAATGTAAACATCTAATAAAAATGCATAAACCAATATTAGGCCGAACGGGTTTAGCTAAAAACAAAATCGTACCGAAAGGTTTTAACATTTATTTTGTAAAATGGTGTAAATCTGGCGAAATAATAACAAAATAGTAAATATCTAAACGGGTGGCCGTCGGGATGTTTCGGCTCCTTCGACAACAAATAAGTCTAAGTCTAAGTCCAAAAAGAAAGAGATTTCTTTGATTTTTAATTTTTTACAGCTAGGATCAAAGCCTTGCTAATTTAGTTTTGTTTTATGTTGTAGGTAAACACCTGGTGCTGGTTACGGATCCTGAGAAGGGAGGGGACTACGCTTTTGACAACCCTGGCTTTAAAGGTTGGTATGATATAAATATAAATGTATATTCACGTTTGTAAACCAAACTTTGGTCATTCAGTGGCAGTTTCAGCTAAAGCCACTAAAAATACATTTTTTGTACTCTCAACCCCACTCATTTTCTTGTGTTCATTAAAACAGGGTATGTTTTCTGTGGTAAGGTTAACATAGTTCTCAAATCATACAAGTGATTCAAGTCAAATAACTCGAATAGTTTATATTACAGTATATGAAACTATGTTTACCTCACCACCTCACCCTGACCAAACATATAGGTACTGTACAATGAAATTAGTGTAACCATGAAAAGTGCCAAGATGAGAGTTAATTTTTACATGAAATTGGTACCTACTCTGTAAATATTCCTCCTATAGACCTATTCCTCATATTCGGATTTGATTTTAAATATATATTTAAAATACCCTGCCGCAGCAAACCTGCAGACTAAGCGAATTTATATTTTTACCTGGCTAGATTTCTACTAAAATATCCCTGAAAATTGTCAGATTTATTTCCTATTTAAACAACATTAATTTTAATGAGTACCTAGGTTTGCTGCTACAGGGAAGGTATTGAGGTGTGTTTTTATTGAAATGTTGATAGCTTAGTATGAAATAAGACAAAATTGCCAAATTTGATTAAAATATATCCATAAACAAGCAAACTTGAACAGTTAATTTATCACACAAACATAATAGGAATAACACGGGAATTTTAAATTATTTTTTTTAGTTAACTCCGTAACCATTACCAAACAATAAAGTTTTTTTGTTTACGCTTTTGAAAGTAACATGCATTTTGTTTGGGAAAATTTAGTTTTTGGTTTTGTTGGTTTGTTTTGGTTGGTGTTGGTACCAACATTACAAAAAAGTGAGGTAAAAAATTATCATTTTGAAAATTATTACATGTGACACATTATTGTAAAGCTGCTGTGTTTACCAGGATTACAAATTTTCAATCAGAACAGAAAAATGTTTAGCGGTTTCAAAAATGCAGGGTATTACATCAATACTTGAAAAATTCACAAAAAAGTATTTGAAATGTCTTCTTTGTATGTGATTTAGGGGGAATAACTTCATTTCACATTTCTAAGTGAAAACGTACTCCTGTAAAAGTATGTGTACAGGTGGGCTGTCACACCCTGTTCATTACTGTGTTTTAAATTCAAGGAATATAAATAATGAACAAAAAGTATACTTATAGTTCCTATTAAAAGGGGTATTGTCAGCATTATACAATAAAATTTGTAGTTTGCAAGTATAGCATATTATCTGCATTATGTTTCATTTGCAATTTATTTTAGCAAACTCCCCACATTACCCCACATTAAATTGAAAAATTATGGAGAATAAATTTTGCAAATTTGCCTACTTCTTACTTAGATACAAACATTTCAATAAAACACACTTTATTACCTTCCCTAAAGCAGCAAACCTAATAATCTTTGAAACAAATGTTATTTGAATAGGAAATAAATCTGACAATTTTCAGGAAATATTTTAGTGAAAATCCAGATAGATGGGAATCTGCGAACTGCGTAGTCTGCAGGATTGCTGCAGCGGGGGTATTTAATATTTTTAATGATTATTTAATTTTTTCCAGAGGGTACACCCATTGGTCGAACAGCTGCCAAAGAGGAAAATAAGGTAAGAAGTGATTATTTTTATCAAAGTTTTTCCATGTGTAATACGCATTGTTTGTACTGAAGGTACAGTAAGTTCCATAAAATTATACTAGGCGAAACCTGTCAAAATGAACGGTTACTGTCGAGGATTCAAGCAAAATCATTTTACTATCAGTCTATGATAAATAACTACATTTTTTTGGAACAACTTGGGTACATACAAACATACAATCATAATAATCAATAACTCAAATGAAAGCTGACCAGTATTTCACTGAAGGTTCTGAAATCTAAACATGGAAAACATAATTTTAATTGAACAATATATTTAAAATTAAATTCCATATCCGAGAAATAATCAAATTTATCTATATTGATTGAGTAATACAGTATCAAGAAACATAACTGATTCAAACGATCAATATCTCAAATGAAGATGATAAATGTGATGAAGGATGACAGTGGCGGTCCCAGGGGGGGGGGGAGGGGAGGGATATCCCTTCCCCGAAATATTTTATATTTTATTAGCATATAACATAACATAAATACTATATAAGCTTGAACAAATTTTAGAGCTCAAATACGTTTAAAAATACATTTTAGGCTATAAATTCCAAATTTTTCCAGGGGGGGATCCACGGACCCCCTTTTTTTCCTGGGGGAAATTCCGTACCCCCAGACCCCCCCAAAATGAAATCCTGTGACCGCCACTGAAGGATGACATCCTTTATTTCTAGAAGTATTTTAAAACCAAGACATATGAAATAATTGAAATAATAAACGGTATCAGCAATCCAACACATACATTCTCCCGTTAGCTTTCCAACAACCAAATGTTCATGTTCATGTTTCATAGGTAAGCGGTGGGAGCAAACTATGATATTTTAAAGTTAAAATAACAAACATTGCAATAACTTTTGAACCGTAATTTTTACAGCAATAGAGGGTTGCACCATATTGTTCAGAACTATAAGGGTAATAATATAAAAATTGTAATCAAAACCGGCATATTTTGAAAATCCAGTTCTCCGTTATTTTATTTTCTCCTTTTATAAAATATGACAATCTATATAAGTAGTTTATCAAATTAATTCCTATCATCAGATTTATAACTGATTCAATGTCTGTAGCTGCTGAAATGGCAGAACTGGGCTCCGCTTGCTGGTTTGAGTGGCCCTGGTGGCAAACCACGAGCTTTGGACGACTCTTACGTTGGTGTGAGTATCAATCAATAACATTTTGTATTTATCTATACAAGCATACTGTGTATTGGTTATTTATAAGTAGGTATTTTTATCCTATGTTTGTTTATTTGAATGGGTTCTAGCGTAGCCTCTAATACAAAGCCTCGGCTTTGGTGTGTGGCAACGTCACCTTTTGCCATACTAATAATAGAAATAACAAAAGTGTAAACATAAACATTGGGCAGACACTCCTTTATGAATTAGTGCAACGGCTGTTTCGGTTTGCTGGGAGAGCGATGTTGCCATTTTTTTCTTATCCCGGTCTTGTATTAGAGGAGGCTATGGTAGTAGGCAATAGGCATATAGTTTAAGTTTGTTCAATAAAGTAACATGATAAAAAACCATATAGAAAAACCAGCAAGTAAAAACTACTCTAGTCTTTCTCTGTAAATTTTACTTATATCACATTATGTGACATTTTGGTTTTACACATTTCACACAATTAATAAAGGGTTAAATTATAGCCATTGTAGTGAAAAAATCTAATGGAAGCATCGTTTGAGTGTTCAGTATCAGATCCCATGGCCAGATCAGTACTCTACGTTGTGGAAAAACATACTTTTCTCTCAGGGCTAAACTCGTAAAAATGTTTGTGGATAAACTAAACTAACTACCGTACTAGAGTTAATCTAAATCCATTGAAAAATGTTAGAACAAGGTATATTTTTTAAAACCTATTGACAAAAAATATTTTTGAAATTGAATAAACATGGTTACAGGGATACCATCTAGATAGTAGGGATATATCTATTTAGTGTTTCAATCTGGTTATATAGTTTCACTTTTTCAATATCTTGTGAAGGAAACACCAAAACATCAAGTAAAATTATCTTGACACACAATCAACCTAAGAGTCATCAATCAAGGGCTTTTAGCTATCATATCAAGTCTAGTCCCTCCATTATAACTCATTACCCACATCAATTTTATCCCAAAGCCAAAGGAACAAACAAAGACAAAAGTGAAGGTTGTTCAAAAAATCTAACACGACCTAAGAAACATATTTTATTTTGATGGGTTCAAGCTACGTTTAGAGATCCTGTTATACACCGAAAGAGTAATAAAGGGGGTACCCTGTTGTACAATGTACATGACATAATTCCCATAATTGTAAGTTGACTATTGGATACAGTTGTTGTATTAATAGTCAAAGGTTATGGTTACAGCCACTGCATACTATCCTTTCAAGTGTCATCTGGTTTGTTAGACATTTCACTGACAACAACTAAGACCAGCATAAGTTAACAAACAACTAAGGCTGCAAATTTTGTAAGATATTTGCTGTAAACAAGGAGACAAAACTTTACTTTAAATGGCGATAACTCGAATAAATTTAATGACACATTCAGAGCAGTCAACCTAGGCCTTTTGTACCTAGGAAGCTGTGAGACAGCACCGGTGTGAATATACCAAAACTGATTTGATCAATTACAGCAGGTAGATACAGAAGTATAGACTCGGTATTATAAACCAGTCATTGCTCGTAAAGTCGTCACTGGTTTCACCTAGTGACCAGTTAGTAGATCTATGATGATGAGTTGTTGTAAGGGGTGAGCAAAAATGGGAAGTCACCTGATAGGTACAGAGCTAGTGAGGGAGATAATGAGATAGTCCTCAGTAGAGCATTTCGTTTGTTTTGTAATTTTTTTCAGGCAATGAAGGACATGTCAATTTAGTTTAACAAAACCACAGAAAATATACTACTATTACCTATTTTAGTATTAGGTTTAGTAGTATGTTTTCTGTGGCAAAACCTACAACTCACAGTTAATGGTGCTAAAAGTGTTAACCTCAAACCTAAATTTCCAACTTCATTAAAATAAGATTTTTTTAAATGAATTAGTGACAACTTTTGACTCCTTGTAGGCTTGTATTTTATTAGAAATTCCTAAAAGTTGGGGGGACCCAGGTCCCCCCCCGTGGGCCCATCCTACGGGACACCTATGCAAACCCTGGTGTGTTGTAGTAAGCTAATAATCTAATCTAAAAATCCTCCCTATCGGGGTTCTACAACTTGATGGTTATGTTACAGCAGCCACTAGTCAATGTGGTGCCACTGAGGAGCCATGACTTCACAGGTCTCGGGTTCAACATCTGTGGCAACATGAGGGATGGAATCTTCGTTAAAGACGTCCTCCACCGAGGTCCTGCCTCCGAGTCTGGTCGCATCGCTCCAGGTGGGCAAGAAAATATTTCCATAATTCTTTGATTCTGTTTTTCAAACGGTCTTTTAATCGATCTTTTTTCTGCAAGGAATTGTTATTTCATATTTTTTTTAAAACACTTTTGAAGAGTCACTGAAATCTGTACAGTATTTGTAGCATGTTTCTGAAATCATTCATTGAGGAACAAAATTGTCTGCATTATTGTGGGGGCAGTAAGAAACGTCATTCTTAGTTGTCCTTGATATTTATCCTGTCTCTTATTTTCCATAAATAGCATCTTTTCATAAACAGCAATGTGTATATAAAAATTAAATCAAAATAAAAATCTTTTTAATATGGAAAACCATTACCCCTTTAAAGAGAAGAGAGCAATACTTGCACTATTATCTCAAAATGATTCTCTAGGTGAAGGGGGTCATTTATTTTGTTTTTTGGATTATCACTTGTTTCAGGATATTCTTTTGTAATATAAAACCTGGATGGAGGTTATAAGAAATTTGTTTGTTTGTTTATTGTGTTGCTGTGAAGGGATTTGAGGCATTAACCCTGACCAATAGGGTGTTTTAAGAAAATGGTTTTAGTGTTTTATAATAATACAGGAAAATATTGGTCTAAGCCACATAAATTTAAACGAGGGGACCCATGCTCAAACTGCACATTTTTATAGGGCTCGATTTTGAGTCAAAATGAATAATGCAACACCCTATTATTTTCAGAGATTATTTTGTTTGAGACAGTTATTAGGTGAGGTGTTTCGTGTTATGTGTCCGATGTATAAAGGTTGACAACCTCATTTACGGATGAAAAAAACAATTTTTTTAACGTTCCTACCTGAAGATGTACTCCTAGCAGCATAAAACAGCTGTAGTTATTCATAACACAATGATCAATTGACGTAACAGTAGGTAACCTAAACCTTTTTAATTTTGCAATATCTTGATCCAGAGGCTAATCCATCAGTTATTAGGTGAATAAAACTACTACAGTATATATTATCATAGATATAACATACTCCCTTAGTAGATTTGTCATCCATATGGAACAGCTGAAGCCAATGTTATTGTTAGGTACCTAGTTCTGTACGTGACACTGCAGAGGTCGTGTTTTGATTACAATTTGTTTCTTGTTATTTCAGTAATTTAAAACCATGTTAAACCATAAGAAATGGTCAAATCATAAACAATAACTGATGGTCTCCTAGTTATACAGTGTGGTATAAAAGTCAGCCAAATCTTCGTGAACCACTGCTAGCGGCAATCTTCGTAGCGTTGCCTCTTTTAATACGGCGGTTTCGCTTCTTATAAGGTTCTGTAATCATTGGTTCTACTAACTAAGACCTTGAATTAGATACCAAAACTCGACCTATGCTGCTATGTAAGAACTTTGACTACTCGTGGACCGTTCCCCTTAAGGGATAAAAATCTGATAATAGCTTAAAAGAGTAGACATTTATGGCTATTGAGTGAAAATTTAAAAACGTACGTTTTCATGTCCCTGGCCTTTTACTTCGTATATACTGGATTTGTAGTTTATTATTATGTGTTTTAATATTTTTTGGGACGGGGGCAACATGTTACACACATTTATTTGGTTTTAAATAGGTTCTAGGTATTTTTTTCGTATTTTTAAAGTCTCGAAATTCACGACCATGACGTGTCCCTAGGGTACATTTTCCAACTTTCACGCTGTTTTTAGACTAATTATTCATGCCGAAATATATAAAGCCATATTTTTATGTCATCAATGGTTATTAAACTTACAAAAAAGGAGCATATTATAATTTTATTGTCATTACAAACTGACTACCATGACAAAATAAGTCTGTCCCTCGATTTGGCATCACGACCATTTGGGAAAAAATTTCAACTTTGGAGCACGACAGTGGCAAGCCTGGCGTCGATGGAGTTAGTTGGTTTTAGAGACTAGTTCGGGGTGTACGTCAGGATTGTAGTGCCGGTTGTTTCGAGTTGAAAGAAGGAATTACAAGATTAATAAAGGAAAGATTGTGTTTTTTGTAATTTTGGTGTGTCCATGACCGTACGTAGTCATTCGATGAAGTAGACATGGTGTTAATTTTTGTTTATAAGATATTTTAATTGCTAGATTAACCTATAAGTCCACTTTGTATCCTCGAACATGAGGCGCAGGGCCACCGCCAGAAGAGAGCCAAATAACACGCAATTTCACGACCAAAGTTTCACGACCATCGCGGGTTTTTTCACGACCAATCCAACATTATGGATTATAGTGTGTTTGGTCGTGACAATAACTTTAATATAATTGTAAATTGAACAGTTTAGTTCAATTGAAACACATATTTTTATTATAACTAATAGGATAATTGAAGGATTGTTTGGAAAGATTTAGATTATCCCAGACAATTCACGACCGTACCGCTTGTCCCTGACCATCACGTTTATAATTTCTATCCTAAAAATTTCAAAAATTAAAATATCGTCATATTTCAATGTTTTATACATAAGAAGCACACCTCTATACAAACATAACAATTTTTCGGGTCTCAGGTAAGTTTTTTCGGAGTTATACAAACTTAAAAAGATTTTATTGGCTTTTTTCAATTTTTTGAGTTTTTTTATTTTTTTCTAGAAAGACCAAATATACCAAAAGCTCAGTGACCTTTTTATTGTATAATGGTCATAAAAGTAAATTAGTTTATAGCAAAACATAGTTACAAAAATAATATTAGAGTGAAAATTTAAAAACGTACATTTTTAGGAAAAGCACTTTGCAAATTCTTTTCCCCTTTTTTCAAAACTTGTATTATTTTTTTTATTTCATTAACATTTGAAGTTTCATAAAATGTCCATGGTAACGCAATATCTTTGGTAGTTTCTTTTTAAAAGAGCATCTTTAGTTGAAAAACACAAAATCCTGTCACGACCATAACGGACGTTTAAATGAATATTAAAAAAAGTTAATATTATTTTTATAACTATGTTTAGCTATAAACTAATTTACTTTTATGACCATTATACAATAAAAAGGTCACTGAGCTTTTGGTATATTTGGTCTTTCTAGAAAAAAATAAAAAAACTCAAAAAATTGAAAAAAGCCAATAAAATCTTTTTAAGTTTGTATAACTCCGAAGAAACTTACCTGAGACCCGAAAAATCGTTATGTTTGTATAGAGGTGTGCTTCTTTTGTGTATAAAATATTGAAATATGACGATATTTTAATTTTTGAAATTTTTAGGATAGAAATCATAAACGTGATGGTCAGGGACAAGCGGTACGGTCGTGAATTTTCTGAAATAATCTAAATCTTTCTAAACAGTCCTTCAATTATCCTGTTAGTTATAATAAAAATATGTGTTTCAATTGAACTAAACTGTTCAATTTACAATTATATTAAAGTTATTGTCACGACCAAACACACTATAATCCATAACGCTGGATTGGTCGTGAAAAAACCTGCGATGGTCGTGAAACTTTGGTCGTGAAATTGCGTGTTATTTGGCTCTGTTCTGGCGGTAGCCCTGCACCTCATGTTCGAGGATACAAAGTGGACTTCTACGTTAATCTAGCAATTGAAATATCTTATAAACAAAAATTAACACCATGTCTACTTCATCAAATGACTACGTACGGTCATGGACACACCAAAATTACAAAAAACACAATCTTTCCTTTATTAATCTTGTAATTCCTCCTTTCAACTCGAAACGACCGGCACTACAATCCTGACGTACACCTCGAACTAGTCTCTAAAACCAACTGACTCCATCGACGCCAGGCTTGCCACTGTCGTGCTCCAAAGTTGAAAATTTTTCCCAAATGGTCGTGACGCCAAATCGAGGGACAGACTTATTTTGTCATGGTAGTCAGTTTGTAATGACAATAAAATTATAATATGCTCCTTTTTTGTAAGTTTAATAACCATTGATGACATAAAAATATGGCTTTATATATTTCGGCATGAATAATTAGTCTAAAAACAGTGTGAAAGTTGGAAAATGTACCCTAGGGACACGTCATGGTCGTGAATTTCGAGACTTTAAAAATACGAAAAAAATACCTAGAACCTATTTAAAACCAAATAAATGTGTGTAACATGTTGCCCCCGTCCCAAAAAATACTAAAACACATAATAATAAACTAAAAATCCAGTATCTACGAAGTAAAAGGCCAGGGACATGAAAACGTACGTTTTTAAATTTTCACTCATTAACTATTTTTAATATTCATTTAAACGTCCGTTATGGTCGTGACAGGATTTTGTGTTTTTCAACTAAAGATGCTCTTTTAAAAAGAAACTACCAAAGATATTGCGTTACCATGGACATTTTATGAAACTTCAAATGTTAATGAAATAAAAAAAATAATACAAGTTTTGAAAAAAGGGGAAAAGAATTTGCAAAGTGCTTTTCCTAAAAATGTACGTTTTTAAATTTTCACTCTAATATTATTTTTGTAACTATGTTTTGCTATAAACTAATTTACTTTTATGACCATTATACAATAAAAAGGTCACTGAGCTTTTGGTATATTTGGTCTTTCTAGAAAAAAATAAAAAAACTCAAAAAATTGAAAAAAGCCAATAAAATCTTTTTAAGTTTGTATAACTCCGAAGAAACTTACCTGAGACCCGAAAAATCGTTATGTTTGTATAGAGGTGTGCTTCTTTTGTGTATAAAATATTGAAATATGACGATATTTTAATTTTTGAAATTTTTAGGATAGAAATCATAAACGTGATGGTCAGGGACAAGCGGTACGGTCGTGAATTTTCTGAAATAATCTAAATCTTTCTAAACAGTCCTTCAATTATCCTGTTAGTTATAATAAAAATATGTGTTTCAATTGAACTAAACTGTTCAATTTACAATTATATTAAAGTTATTGTCACGACCAAACACACTATAATCCATAACGCTGGATTGGTCGTGAAAAAACCTGCGATGGTCGTGAAACTTTGGTCGTGAAATTGCGTGTTATTTGGCTCTGTTCTGGCGGTAGCCCTGCACCTCATGTTCGAGGATACAAAGTGGACTTCTACGTTAATCTAGCAATTGAAATATCTTATAAACAAAAATTAACACCATGTCTACTTCATCAAATGACTACGTACGGTCATGGACACACCAAAATTACAAAAAACACAATCTTTCCTTTATTAATCTTGTAATTCCTCCTTTCAACTCGAAACGACCGGCACTACAATCCTGACGTACACCTCGAACTAGTCTCTAAAACCAACTGACTCCATCGACGCCAGGCTTGCCACTGTCGTGCTCCAAAGTTGAAAATTTTTCCCAAATGGTCGTGACGCCAAATCGAGGGACAGACTTATTTTGTCATGGTAGTCAGTTTGTAATGACAATAAAATTATAATATGCTCCTTTTTTGTAAGTTTAATAACCATTGATGACATAAAAATATGGCTTTATATATTTCGGCATGAATAATTAGTCTAAAAACAGTGTGAAAGTTGGAAAATGTACCCTAGGGACACGTCATGGTCGTGAATTTCGAGACTTTAAAAATACGAAAAAAATACCTAGAACCTATTTAAAACCAAATAAATGTGTGTAACATGTTGCCCCCGTCCCAAAAAATACTAAAACACATAATAATAAACTAAAAATCCAGTATCTACGAAGTAAAAGGCCAGGGACATGAAAACGTACGTTTTTAAATTTTCACTCATTAACTATTTTTAATATTCATTTAAACGTCCGTTATGGTCGTGACAGGATTTTGTGTTTTTCCACTAAAGATGCTCTTTTAAAAAGAAACTACCAAAGATATTGCGTTACCATGGACATTTTATGAAACTTCAAATGTTAATGAAATAAAAAAAATAATAAAAGTTTTGAAAAAGGGGAAAAAAATTTGCAAAGTGCTTTTCCTGAAAACGTACGTTTTTAAATTTTCACTCTATTATTGGTATACAAAGTCTCAAGACTTTATCTGGAAAAAATATATGTAACCGTTCTCTGGGACATTTCTACCACACTGTATAACCAAACAGTGTAGAGCAAAATTCATGAAAATAAACCGAAAATAATAGAAAGAAAATTTTGGCTACACTAGTGATCAGTGTCAACGCACGTGAACTAGACACAAAAAACAAGCTTCAAAATGTACAATGGGATGAGAAGTCTACTTGTGTTGCTTAGTCTAACGAATTTGTTGGATTTTTGTATTCGGCAAATCGACCCCTAAATATTTATTTTTACAGGCATATTGGGTATCAATTTAAAGTTAAAGCTCTTATCCTCTATATGCCTTTTGCGGGTTTGGGTAGTATCCCGGGAAAGCCCTTCATCCTATAGGCTTTTTTTTAAATTTCAGTTTGTGCTAAATTCTGTTGTTAATCATCTGAACTGAGTGGGTAGTTTGTAGTCTTCTTTAGTTTACAAGTCGTCCTGTACCTGTTTTATCTGTCTATTAAGTGTATGTTAAATGTTATTACTTCACTGAAAATCTCATAGAGCAATAATACTTCACAGAATAAACAAAACCAAATGTTTCAGGTGACCGAATCGAAAGCATCCGAATCAGTTTGCGCCACATGGTGTTTGAAGACGCCTTGACCATCTTGTCGTACGCGTCGCCCTACGAGGTGCAGCTGGAGGTGGAGAGTCCCACATCCCAGTCGTCCTCACGACCCGCAACTCTGCTGCGAGAGAAGAGAGGCGCGCCTCCGACACAGGCGGACCGCATCTGTCATCCGTTCTACCGCAGCCACTCCATCACTGACCTCATGAAGGTAAGCAGTAGTGGTAATCAGATGACATGCATATCCTCAAATGTCCTGGGTTCTATAATATTGTTAGGTGTAACTCATGGCAGTCACAGAATAACTCAGAGTTTTTTACGTTATACGATTTAGCAAATATTTTAATACTTAGGCCTACTCAATAAAGTTGACATCATATTTATTTATAAAACTTATTTTAAAATCTTTCTATCATGGAAAAAATCTTGACTCTTATTATTTGTCAAAAAATGTAATGACTAATTTACCACTGACATTTTTTAAATTTGGAACTTCAGATAAAAAAAAAACTGTTAACTCGACTTATTACACTAAGCTTTAGTCATGCTCAAATGCTTGGATATAATTGATTTCCTATTAATTTAAAAATAATACGTGGATGGTGGAATCTCCTAAATTATTGTTTTTTTTGTTACAGATAACCAAAAGCAGTCCATCCAAGTGGGCCAATGAGTCATCAGTCGCAGACTTGAGCAATGGAGACATGACCAAACCTGCGATAATCGAAACATCTCCGATCGAAAAAATGCAAAAAGTTGGCGTGCGAGTACTGCCGCCAACAGCGAACTCTGAAACACTGAAAATCGAAGCAGAAAAATCACAGAATGCTAGAAACTCATACATTGAAAGTGGTCAAGTTTTATCCAAGAAATCTCCATCCAATACGCTTATCAAAACAGAAAAGTTGACTTCAGATTCATCCACTAAAACAACAAAATCACCTGTTACTCCTTCAAAGCCAAGTATATCACACGATTTTGATGAAATTGATTTGACAGATAGTGGCCACGATGATAAAATGAGCCAAGATGGCAACAGTAGAAAAAACACACCCTCCCCTGGCCTGAAAGAAACAAATGTTAAATCTTTGTTAGTGAAAGGTTACAACAACTTAAAAGAAAAATTCCATCATGCTGGATTAAAGCTTGAAAAAGACAATGAGGACGAATTAAAACCAAAACACAATGATGCTTTGCCTGAGGACAACTTGTCTGTAAGTGCCAAAAATGATAAGGCCATAAATATAGAAAAACAGGATAAAAATGCTAATGCTGAATCCAATCAGACTCACGATGTTCCAGAAGAAGTGCAAAAAGCTGGTATGGCAGCAAGAAGCAATCGAAAATCAATGACTGAAGAAGGGAAAAACTGGGAACGCCTCAGTGTTATTGATGTACAAAAACTAGAAATAGAAAGAAACAGAAAGGATAGTGTCAGTGGGGACAGTTCGAATGGAGGTGAAACCTCTAGCCAAAAAAAGAGCAAACGGAAAGCTCCTCCTCCACCACAAATCAAACCAGAGGACGAGACAGAACCAGTAAAACCTGCTCCAGAAATAGATGAACCAGATAACAAAGACAGTTTGTCAGAGAAAAATAACAGTCTTGATTCAGTTGATAGTGATTCTGAAGCTGGAGACAAAAGCGGAACAACGATCGAACTGAATTCTTCACACATAACAGTTCATCATGCTCCTGATTCTGAAACCAGCAGGAAAGCAGCATCGCTGGGAGATCTCTCCAGAATTGGCAATGATCAACCAATAATAGTTTTGGAACGGGCAGTTTCACTTGATTTGGCTGATGGAACACCGGGTGGTAGCAAAAAGAGAAAAGCGCCTTTGCCACCACAAGAAGAATTTTCAGATGACAGTGGACTAGCATACAGTAAAGAGGCGAGGATTGATTCGACCGTACAAACAAGGCTAAAGCACTCCTCTGATTTTGGAAGACTTGAAGATGCTGTAAAACTAAACGATCATTTGTCTGACGATGATACAGATCCTGGTGCAAGTGGTCTTTCCACACCTGAGCCTCCCTTGCAAACTATGATCAGTTCAACTCCCATGAAGAATGAGTTCTTCATGCCGTCTCTATCAGACAGTACTTATCAGAATGATAACACCAACACAACAATCAACAAGTCATCCCCTAGTCCACCTTTGAGTCCAGGTAGCAGCATCGGCGGTGTTCATATCAGCAGATGCAGTTGGGACTTGAGTGTCCCAGAAACCACAAATGAACGATTCATAACAGCCATGAATGGAAATAATACGGAGGACGAAGATGACACACCTCCTGAACTTCCGACCTCCCCTATTCCAACATACGTGACTGAAATACAAGTTGTTACTGCGAACAAAGATGGATTGGAAGGCCTCGTGGAAAACGGCAAGACCGAAATTAGAGATGACGTTTTCCCAAAAAACATTCCAGAGATGTCTTCGTTTATGTCTAACAACTCACACAAACCATTTTCTACATTTAACAGTGATCCATTCAGTGTTTCGACAAGAAAAACCCATGTGAACATCATAAGTTCCAATCAGTCTGATGATATGAACTCTTTGCCTAGCTTGAGTAATATGTCAGATACGTTGACTTCTGAAGTAAACAGGGTGTCACTTAGCCAGCCTAACAGTTTGGATCCTATTTTACCTGGAGATTTCACCATGAATATAAAGGAGTTCCGACCATCAGGAACTATGATGTTTTCAAGTGAGAACATGTCGGATGAACAGATTCTCGCCATGAAATCATCTCCCGAGCCCATTCTGATTGATACTAGTCCAAGACAAACACAGCTTCCCAAACCAGTGAGAACCAACATCAGCGTAACGTCAATCAAGAGTGGAGGTTCTCGTATACCAGTCCGAGCAGTGCCTGAACCAACTCAAAGGAAAGCTAAAAAAGAAAACTACGTGAGTTTCTCATCATTGAACGTGTCCTCGCCAAATGACAAAAAACATACGAATGGATCAGGGGAAAACAGCATCACTCATATAGTGTTGGACACCCACAAGTGAACTTCTATCGTTACACAGGCCTTCAGACATATATTGTCATGACTGTTGAGGTTTTAACTGATTGTTTTGTTTTAGCAGTGGTGCTGAAATTGAGTTCTGTGATGGTATTTTAAGTTAAGTTGTTATTGTTATAAGGGTAATTCGACTGAGAATTTGGAGAAATTGTACTTTTGTGCCAGAGTATAGCCATTTTAGTTTTAAAATGCTCAATTCCACCATTCTAGTATTATATATGTACATTTATATTTAAGTTGTGTGCCTTAATAACCTCTGTTGTAATATACTGTAAATAAAATAGGTGAATAGTTTGTAAATGGAATGGAGGACTACTTGATTTTCTTCAGTTATATTAGTTTTACAATCTCTTAAAAGTATATTATTCTTTTGTGACATAGTAAAATCAAAATAAAGTTTAAGATTTATTATTTGTTTTATATATACTGTAAGTTTTGAGGCGCTTGGACATAGAAGATTAAAAGTGTGTTTTTAACTGAATTTTTCAGGAAAAGGACCTTTAGTTTTTTGACAAGTAAAGTAATCGAAGCTTTTTCTAATGACCCACCACATAGAAATAAGATTTTATTCTAAGGTAAATATATCATCAATTTGGTGCTATTTACTTTTTTGTTATTAATAGTAGTTATTTTACTGTGTAATAATTATATATATTATAGTTTAAGAAAAATGCTTGACATACAGTAAAACCAAAAGATTACACCCACTATGTAATGGTAGCAGTACCAAATCATTCTCGATGAATTCTAACTCTTTAAGATAGATTGTGTTGGAAAAACATTATTAACTTAAATTATGTGTCAAAATAAAAATTTCTGTACCTGTAATAGCTAGAGGAATGTATGAATGGTCGTTGTATATAAAAAGTAACCTGTTTTCAATGCAGAGAATGTATTTTAACAGCTCAAATTAAAGTTCTTTTTAATCCTGTTTTAAATTTTTTGTATTTTTTCCTGATAGCACTGGGGGTTTGTTTAAAACATCTTAAACTCATTCTACACAATATGTTAACTAATTAATTCTTAATGCATCTTAACCAGGCTAATAACATTTAGTAATAAACCTGCAAAATAATATCCAATAAGTTACACAATTTTCATTTGGATGGAGCATTTTTAATCAATACACCACTCAAGTTGATGACTCAGGAAACTAGTCTAATAGTTTTTTTTATCAATCAACGACACTGACAATTCAATTTTCTTGGCTCAAAGCAGCAATGGGAAGTAAAGAGTGAACACAGTTGTTGTATACAAGTATAATAAGTATAAGTATTTCAATAATAAACACATAGATTCAACAATTTAAAAAATCAATATAAATTATGTAAACTGTTCAAAGTAAATTGATTATAAATATGTTAAATTCATCAGGAACACCACTGAGTAAATAAATGTTTAAATAATTACTATCCAAATAAGGAACGTATAATTAAACTTATGTAGCAAAGTATATAGTGCAGGCATTCTATACAATGTCTGAAGCTTATAGGTAAAGAATGAAATGGAGTAATAAAAATAGAATTTTGATTTTATACACTTTGACAAGGATTTTTTTATAAATACTGTAATAATGCCTAGCCATTCTATACAGGATGTCCCTAATCAACCTGTACTGTTTTTGTGGGATTGTTCCTAATATAGAGACAAACAGATTTTGCAATATACCATGGGGTCTTCCTAGTTTTCCGTCTATCTGTTTGTAAGTGTTTTTTACAAATTTCCTCATAGCTTGCTTCAACTTATGTTGAAACATCTGTACCAAATTTAACGATTCTAAATTGAGGCCTTAAAAGGAAATTTGTAAAAAACAATACATAGACAGAAAACTAGACATGGGAGACCCATGGTTATATTGCAAAATCGTTTTGACTCTATGCAAGGAGCAATCCCATAAAAGCGGTGCAGGTTGTTTAGGGACACCCTGTATAATGCCCCACAGGTATGCCAGGCAAAATATAAAATCAAGATTCAAGGTTAAAAAAAAAACATTTACTTAATTACAAAGTGTACAGGGTGTATCCATACTTTTGCCTGATTCTGTATATAGACAAACATATTTTTTCAATTACAATAGCTAGATGTAATTGGTTACATTATTGATTGCAGAACTGTTTGAATAAAATATAAAATATGATTACAAATTATACAAACAGTTAAAATAAAATATCGGACTTAGGAACACCACAGAAGTACATAAATGTGTAAAAGTTTCTATTCTTTTACCCATCAACCAAATTATAACCCTGGGAACCAATGTGCAACTATTTTGGTTATGTTGTACAAGATTAGAAACAAACATGTTTCAATAAGTATTTTTCCTGGGAAGGATTAAGTTTGCCAACCATGAGATATTTTGCAAAACAAAGATAATCGTTTACACACTGATTATCTAACATATAAAAATCGGAAAAGAGAAATTTTGCATCTAGTTGTAAACCTTTCAAAGTCCTCTCTAGATTGTTGGTCCTTTGTGTACCATAATACTGAAATCCTGTTTCCCGGGGATGTTTGTTGCACACCATAACACCACGAATGGCAACAGCGAGAGAGTATTCTTGAAATATACCTTCTTGCCACTTTGCCATTAGTAAGTCACTGGTGGCTAGCCGTTTAGCAGCCTCACTTAAGTCAACAAAATTTGTGAATTTTGTATAGAAATTCTCATTCAATCTACAGACAAAATCTTTTGCCTCTGCGAGGAAACTTTCGATTAAAGTGTCAGGTGTTGCTCCAAATTGAATATTACGATTTGCAGAAACTATAACTTTCCTTGGTGTGAGAACATTCCCAATACCTTGAAAAAAATCTACACGATAGTCTTTTGATTTTTCCTTATCACCTGACTGGGTTAGTAGTTTTTTATCTGTTGGTTCCATACACTGAAAGTACAGTTCTAACACACCATGACGTATATCACCTTTGCTAGAGGAACAGATTGCATAAAGAGCTTGGTCAGTTGGAACTTTAAAGTGTTTGTTTGATTCTCTTTCTCTAGTGATAATTAATCTGAGAACTCTGAGCATCTGAAGGTTTGTTATCGGGTTAAACCAAATCACCTGTATCTTAAGATTCATCTTACTGGAAAATAACATCCTGCGCACTTTACTATCACCACAGATAAAAATTATAGGATTGTTTAGTGTCAAATTTGAAACATTTTCTAAAACTTCATAAAATAAATTTGGGTTTTGAATAAATACAGTGGGAAAATCCTTTACTAGGATTACCGTTTTAAGACTATGTAAACTGAAACAACTGTCGTATTTTGATGTCTTCACTAGAAATTCTTCAAATCGTTTTATAATACTCAACTGTGGAGCAGTTGCAAACTTATCTACAGGCGTTATCCACTCTAATAGTTTGAAATGTAGCTTTTTACATACAATTTCCAAAGTTGTGGTTTTACCACATCCAGAAGGTCCAGCAAGTAATAAAAACTTACTCTGAGACTGAACAAGCCAATTTTCAAGTTCTTCAACTTTACGAATATGCACTCCTAGTTCGTCAATTTTGGTAGGGCAATGGATTTTCAACCAGTCACCTGAACTTGAAACTATTTGATTTTCTTTCGTAGTATCTACTACCACATTTTCCTGATGTATACATCCCTTCTTTAAGGGCGGTGGAAGAAAAAGCTCTTCTGATTCAAATGAAGGTTTTATCCAATTCATCTTTTTATTTTCTCTTTAGCTTTTACGGTTTCTCTTTCATCACTATCTGAAATTATTAAATCAGAATATAGTTAGTGAGGTAAATTCACAGAGCATAGAATAAATATAGAGTCCCCACTCCTATCCTACAGCTATACCAGTAGTGAAACCGATTTCCGCCATCTTGGTAAGAGAACTGGGCTCGGAACTTTGAAAACACAGCGTCATTACCACTGTGTTATTCTATGCTACTTTATGAATTAGATGAAGCTACGGTAACGCTCCGAGGATACATATAGAACTATCCTCCCTTCGATATTGACCTAGGACTCTGCTCCGCGGGCTTTCAAAGTTCTGAGGTGAGAGTTTCAAAAGTAAATATTGATTGGTGGTTTCCATGGCAACAATATAATGGTTTAAATGTAAATGCAGACCCGGCCGAGAAGCCTGCTTCAATCCAGACATCGAGTGCCGCCTCTATATTTATTCTATACTCTGTGGGTAAATTTCCTTCATCACAGTTTTAAAACAAACTGGCAAACCTATAGTGATAAAACGTTACAAACATTATCATTAAAAAGTATTATATTCAGTATGGGATTTGTAAATGGAAGTGAATCTACTTGAAATGAGTGTCTTGATCTTTTAAAATATTTGTTGGGAAGCTGATTAATATAAATTACTTTACCCTTAAAGGCCTTATTACACAAGGTAGCATGGCGACGTCCCCAGTGACAGTAGCTGGCGACGCAATGGCTACCAAACCACTGGCCAGTTCAGTAGCCAGAATTTTTCTATTTTTATAGCCAGTGGCAACAGGGCTCGGTAGCCAGTCCTTCGCCAAAGTGTGGCTACCTTCCTGTAATAACATCCATAAGAATCAATGCCCCATGACAGACTGAGTAGCCAGTTCTGTAGCTGGCGATGTCGCCAGGTTACCTCGTGTAATAAGGGCCTTAGACATCCCATGTCTTCTTATACTTAATAGGCCTACTTTAAACTATTATATTATTAAAATCCAACACCCCATGAAAAGATAATATTGCCAGTTTCAACTCACAGATTAACTGAATGATTCAAATGCGAATTACCAAACCAAACTGTAATAGGATATATCTATTATAGGAAACATAACTAAAAACAATGGCTATAATCATTGAGTATAAACATAACTATGTTTATATGTTATGTTTATACTCAATGCTCTAATTAATCAAAAAGAAAATGTTGAAGTGCTATTTTAAGCATAGATGTTGCAGTCCAGTTTTGGTAACAATATAAGGTACTGTGTACATGAGCTTAACGATGGGGTCAGTTTAGGGGATGTTCTACAATCATGGACAAGCCAATCAAAGTATTTTGCTGAACATTACCAAAAGCGCCCCTTCAATTTTATATTAAACAAGTTTGGTTATAAAAAATTAAGTCTAATACTGTAGGCTATAAACTGAGCTCTTAATAGACTATAAACTGAGCTTTTGTTAAGCATTTGGGGTTGTACATGAAGGCTCCCAAATTTGGTTCCCTATAACTAAAGTCTATAGATTCAGCAGGTTAATAATTTTAGACATTATCTGTTGCTATGTCAGTTTTATTTTATACGGTACTTAATAACTGCAAATGGTCTTGCATAGACTATAGCTGGCAGGCCTAATCATTAGCTTACAGAATTATTTAAATATATTGATTTATATTAGCCTATGGTAAAAAAAAAAAAAAAAAAAAAAAAAATGGCATGACATAAGACTAGGGTTAAGAATTGTATCAAACAATAGTGTAGGAATAATATTATGATAAAAAATTAGTACCTATAAAACTTACATGAAAAGACTATTTGCAAAATTATAATCAGTGAATTTACGCAGAAGACTGTTTGTATAGCTTTGTATTTAAAAGTTTCTTTCCACACATAGCGCAGATTCCTTTTTTGTAAGCACAAGGTTGGCAATAATGGGATCCAACTTGGTGAACTTTCTGCCGGCAAATTTTGCAGGTTTCAAACTTTGATGTGTAAGGGTTGAATCGGTTTTTGCTTGCTGTTAAAGCCTTATTTTCCCCAACCTTCCTTCCACCACTCTCGACAGTGTTTCTTGCACCAGTTTTCCAAGGATCTGGCGTGATGACCTTTCCAAGTTTCTTCTCACATTTTTCACAAACCATTCTGAAAACAATAAACACAGCTATTGATAGATCTGGTTACCAACATTAAATCTAGTTGAAAAAACGAGAAAAAAACTGTTCTAATTATTTGTTTTATCTTGTTGCCACAACTGTTGTCACTGAATATGATCAAAGTAATTTCATTTCGTAGAATATAAGTCTAATAATAGGCCTATGCATTGAAATCCTCTAAATGTATATAGTCCTAAGTATTAAAAATGGACTTAACAGGCCTTAATAGCATAATAAGTCACCCAATCTGAGTACCTATTCTATAATATGTTCATAAATAAATAATATCATAAATAAAAGTTTATCCTCGTTTTATGAACACAAAACTTATTTTAATAAGTAAAGGTGGGTCCACACTTGACGAACAATGTCCGCTAACATGTGAATGTTCGCCAGCGAACGTTCGATGTCCGCTAAGTGTGGACGCATCAACGAACATTTTTTGTTCAGCCTAAAAGTTTGCTCTATGAGCAAAATTTTGTCCAGTTTGGAGAGAGCAGCCCTTCGTGTTACAGCCCCTTGCAGCATGTCTTTGCGTTAAAAGTATACGATGGTGACTGCAACACAACGTGATAACTGTCAAGACCGACTAGACAATGGTCGAAATGCCACTTACTTTGATATTCATCAGCAACCGCAATCTATTTTTTAGCAGAAGATGGCGTCTTTACACAGCTAGATAATGCACAAACATACTTCCAGGACAATATTTGATATGCTTTGCCTGGATATTTTAAACAAATACATTAGAGAGTCCCCACTTGCCAAAAACCTTAAGGTGACTGCTAATCTATCTTTCACACCAATTGGTTCACAACAAAAAGTATTCTTTTTTTAAATTTCAGGACCTATTAATGTTACCAGCAATTCAAAATCATAGTTCGGCATCCGAGTAAAGTTTGAGAATATGCAAACAGCTACCAAGTCCGCTCTGAAGTGTTGTCCACTATATTTATTATCATTACTATTTATTATCACTTTGTTATTACCATTGTTATTACTTTTCTAGTTAGTACTATTGTAAATGCCTTCTCATATTGTAAACACATATTTTGTAAAATGGTGCAATCCGTTGGGAAATAAATAAATATATTCATATCGTCTTCTGTCTCTGTCACCACCGACGACGCCGTTGATAGATGTTAATGTAACATGCAGCAGAAACAACAGTACAGATTGAACAGCTTAAAAATGTTCAGCGGATATTTTTTCCTAGTTCACTGTACAAACGTGCATGTTCCTCGTGAATGTTCGCCAAGTGTGAACGCAGCTTAAAACAAGTTTAAATGAGTCTTATATAACTTAATAAGAAATATTTAAAAAGTAGCATGATGAGCAATTGTGAAACAATTCACTCATCCCTCTGGGTGGTTAATTTCAGGTCCACCTATCCCACTCAGCTCAAACACAAAAATTCAACGACCAGACCTTTGCTACCCGTAATAAATCACTTGCAATGACCATTGTCATTTGTAATGACTTGTAATGACCTAAATCACTTGTTACAAAACATTTTATTACGGTACACATCATGTTAGTTAGTTGCTGTGAACCGAAATAGGCCTATCATTAATTTGATAAGAGATTAGGAGAAAGTATTTTTTAGGAGATGGTCAGCGTTCCAGATCTTTGGAGTGATTCTCAGATTTATGGCCTAAGGGTAGTAGATGCTGGGGAAGGGTTGAGAAAGCAAGGGTGATAGCTGACGTAGAGTGAGAGAGAAGGAAAGGTTGGGGAGAAAAAGAGGGATGACGTCTTGAAGGGTGGAATACATTTCTTAGAAAGCATGGGGTGTTATACCAAAACTAAACTAAACTACTGTAAATAATGTACTTAGTTTTTATTTTTTATCATTAACAAATTATAACGCAATCTATCAGACTAGTTCTGTCAAAGATGAAGAATTCAAGTATACAAGTAACTGTTCACATATGGGTCACTTGAATGGATTTCTGTTTGACTAACAAAGATTAGGCCTATATGCAACAATAGTGGCCATCAATAGAAACTAATTATTCTAATTTATTTCCTGTTTTCTCGCTAACCTATTTATAATAATTTGAATACGGTACTTGGCTTGTCTTCAGCGTTCATTTACTACAAAAAACTTTCTTTTTCTAGTTTCTAGATATATTCTTGTTATTCTCTGTTCTATTTCCAATACAACAATATTAAACACACATCTTGTTTCAACAAACTCTATTTCCAACTAAACCAATGTTTACAAAAACATGTTTACAAAAATCATCTGTCAACAAAAGATATTTAAACACAAATAAATCATATGACTAAAAGAACATACTTAATACAACATCCCGCCTCAAGATGTCTACATCTTCATGAAGCTCGGTACCGCCTCGGTATCTTGATGAACCTTCCATAATGGGTAACTGTGCCAGCGTCTGGACGATCACGTGAGTTAGATGGACAATTAAGGACCGTAGATGAACAGTTTGAAAGAATGCAATCTTCTCCGTAGTATGGTGCAGGAACTAAGAACTTCTGGTTTCGTCGAATGGTTTTCTTGTCAATGTCCACAAGGTAGGAACGTGGTTCGTTCAATTTCCTGACTACTTTACCATGTCTACGTAGATCTGTGATCCATACCATGCTTCCCTCTTCTAATTCACTTAAACCCCTGGTTCCATGTCGTTTATCAAATTGCATCTTATACTTCGACTGGTACTTATTCTCCCTCTCAAAAAAGTCTTTATTTTCCACAGGATTTCCAACCAAAGTAGATGGAAGATTGTCTCTTATTTTCCCTCCAAACATAAGTTCTGGAATCAATGGTTCACTGTGATTAGTTGAGTTCTGAATACACACTGGACACGATTTGCTTTTTCTTTCTATTTCTTGAGAAATTCCAGGCCACCACATGGTTTCCAAAGCACGTTTCCTTGTTTTTGTGATTCCCAAGTGTCCACTGTGAAGCCTCTTAAGCATTTCCGCTCGTAGTTCATGAGGTATTATCATCCGAGTTCCTCGAAGCAATAACCCATCAATACAACTTAACTCGTCTTTCACGTTAAAGTATTCTTGAATCTCATTAGGTAAACTTGATTTTTCAGGCCATTCGTCTAAAATTTTTAGCTTGAGTTGTGCACATATTGGATCCCTCATTTGTGAGTGAAGTACTTTTGTCACATTTTCGTCTGTAGTGTTTATTCTAAACATACTGATTTCATGGACGAAGGCTTCCACTTCTTCTGTCAATTCGCCATCTTCATTAGCCGGAATAGGACATCTCGATAGCAGATCTGCTATGGCAAGGTCTTTTCTTGGGGTCCAGGTCATGCGATAATCGTATCTCATCATACGCATTCGGAATCGCTGTAGTCTCGGTGAGAGCTCGTCCAAATTTTGTCTATTGAAAATTGAGACAAGCGGTTTGTGGTCGCTCTCAATTGTGTACATTTTACCCATCAGGAAACATTTTAAACGGTCACTTGCCCAAGTGCACGCAAGCGCTTCTCTCTCAATGTTACTGTAGTTTTCTTCAACAGGCATTAGAGTCCGAGATATATATGCCACAGGTTTCTTGTTTTCTCCTTCAACTTGTAGTAAAACCGCTCCAAGACCTTTTTTTGAAGCGTCACAAGAAAGAATCGAGGGCTTTTCCGGATCGTAAACAGTTAAACATGGCTCTGATGATAAAATCTGTTTCACTGTGACAAAAGCTTTTTCCTGAGTTGGTCCCCAAAAGAAATCGTGTTTAGTCTTTAACAAGCTTGTAATTGGCTTTGAAATCTCACTGCAGTTCGGAATAAATTTAGCCAGAAAAGTGACCATGCCCATGAATCTCTGGACTTCATTAGCATTACTTGGGGCTGGTAAGTCCACAACTGCTTGTACCTTGCTTGGATCAGGCTTGATTCCTTCCTTAGACAGCACAAACCCCAAAAATGTCACAGTCTTCTTGCAGAACTCAGACTTCTGCTTATTCAAAGTGATTCCATTAGCTTGCACTCTCTCTAGAACGGCTCTAAGACACTCGTCGTGTTCCTCTTTCGTTCTTCCCCATATCAAACAGTCATCAATGTGCACTAAACAGTTCTTTGCCCCTTCTAAAGCTTTTGACATACGGCGCTGAAACTCTTCATGAGCAGATGTAATTCCAAAAGGTAACTTACAGAATTTATACCTCCCGAAAGGGGTGATAAATGTTGTGTAATCTTGAGACTCCTCTGCAAGGTTCAGTTGCCAGAAACCGGAATTCGCATCGATCTTGCTGAAGTACTTGGCTCCCGCAATCTCGGACAATGAAATCTCAATCTTTGGAATAGGATAAAACTGACGTTTCACACTGTTGTTGAGTTTGGATAGGTCCACGCAGATCGTAACCCCACCTCTCTTTTTTGCGCAAACTACCATTGGTGCGCACCAATCAGTCTCGTGTTCAACTGGGACAATCACTCCTTTTTCAAGCATATTCTCTAACTGCTCTTTCACCTTGCTTTTTAAAGGTATTGGTACAACCCTGGGGGTAGATATAGCATAAGGAACTGCATTCTCCTTCATTTCTATCTTGTACTCTCCTTTCATATTTCCCAATCCTTGAAATAAATTAGGGTACTTAGTAACCCAGTCAATATCTGATGAATCTACAGAAAAGATCCTCTTCACCAGGTTCAGCTCTTCACAGGAACGTCTGCTAAGAAGTGGAACATTGATCTCATCAGAAATATACGCATAATCATAAACCGATACACCCTTATGGTTAAGCTTCAGCCTTAAAGTTCCCAAAATATTGATTCGTTCTTTCTTCTTTGCACTGTACACAGGGG